CACACACCCCAACCCCCCATGTGTTTTTGCACATGTGTGTGTGACTTTAATCTCTAGAGAATTGAAAACGACAACTGCACATTCTCTTCATTCTGATCCAAACACAGACCACAGACTGAACCAGGACTAAACCAGGACTAAACCAGGACTAGACCAGGACTAGACCAGGACTAAACCAGGACTGAACCAGGACTAAACCAGGACTAAACCAGGGACTAAACCAGGACTAAACCAGGACTAACCAGGACTAAACAGGACTAAACCAGGACTAACCAACCAGGACTAAACCAGGACTAAACCAGGACTAAACCAGGACCAGGACTAGACCAGGACTAAACCAGGACTAAACAGGGACTAACCAGGACTAAACCAGACTAAACCAGGACTAGACCAGGACTAAACCAGACTAAACCAGGACTAAACAGAAACCAGGACTAAACTAAACCAGGACTAAACCAGGACTAAACCAGGACTAAACCAGGTCTAAACCAGGTCTACTAAACCAGGACTAAACCAGGACTAAACCAGGACTAAACCAGGACTAAACCAGGACTAAACCAGGACTAAACCAGGACTAAACCAGGACTAAACCAGACCAGGAACCAGGACTAAACCAGGTCTAAACCAGGACTAAACCAGGACTAAACCAGGAGGTCTAAACCAGGTCTAGACTAAACCAAGGACTAAACCAGGTCTAAACCAGGACTAAACCAGGACTAACCAGGACTAAACCAGGACTAAACCAGGACTAAACCAGGACTAAACCAGGACTAAACCAGGACTAAACCAGGACTAAACCAGGACTTAAACGGAACCAGGACTAAACCAGGACTAAAACCAGGTCTAAACCAGGTCTAGACCAAGACTAAACCAGGTCTAAAACCAGGACTAAAACCAGGACTAGACCAGGGACTAAACCAGGACTAAACCAGGACTAAACCAGGACTAACCAGGACTAAACCAGGACTAAACCAGGTCTAAACCAGACCAAACTAAACCAGGTCTAAACCAGGACTAAACCAGGACTAAACCAGGACTAAACCACCAGGTCTAAACCAGGACTCTAAACCAGGACTAAACCAGGTCTAAACCAGGACTAAACCAGGACTAAACCAGGACCAAACCAGGACCAAACCAGGTCTAAACCAGGACTAAACCAGGTCTAAACCAGGTCTAAACCAGGACTAAACCAAGACTAAACCAAAACTAAACAGGTCTAAACCAGGTCTAAACCAGGACTAACTAAACCAGGACTAAACCAGGTAAACCAGGTCTAAACCAGGACTAAACCAGGACTAAACCAACCAGGACTAAAACCAGGACTAAACCAGGGACTAAACCAGGTAAACCAGGTAAACCAGGACTAAACCAGGACTAAACCAGGACTAAACCAGGACTAAACCAGGACTAAACCAGGACTAAACCAGGACTAAACCAGGTCTAAACCAGGACTAAACCAGGACTCTTCCCTGAGTTTGTGGTCGATCTGAGTTGGAAAAAAAGAAGCAAAAATGTAAAAACATTTTTATTTATTAAACACAAACAGAGAAAAGAAAAAACAAGAGAAACATTTGAACCAAGAACCAGGACTAAACCAGGTCTAAACCAGGACTCAACCAGGCCTAAACCAGGACTAAACCAGGACTAAACCAGGCTAAACAGGTCTAAACCAGGACTCAAACCAGGCCTAAACCAGGACTAAACCAGGACTAAACCAGGTCAAAACCAGGACTAAACCAGGTCTAAACCAGGACTCAACCAGGACTCAACCAGGACTCAACCAGGACTCAACCAGGACTAAAGCAGAACTCAACCAGAACTAGACCAGGTCTTTCTGTTCCATCCTAAGTTTGGGTCGGGCGTTTCAGAAGGGACAGTTCTTTGGGTCTCTGGTGTCAGTCCTGGTCTAGTCCTCGTCTCAGGTCTAGTTCTGGTCCAGGTCGGGCTCAGGTCCGGTCAGGTCCGGGCTCAGGTCCGGGCTCAGGTCCGGGCTCAGGTCCGGGCTCAGGTTTACTCCTGGTCCTTCTCCTCTCCGTGGGTGATGATGTGCACCAGGTTCTTGTAGTCCAGGTTTCCAGCCACGTCTGGAGGAAACGCGGCGAACATCTGCTCCATCTGCACACACACAGTCATGTGACCTCCTGTGTGTCAGGTTCCTCCTGTGTGTCAGGTCCCTCCTGTGTGTCAGGTCCCTCCTGTGTGTCATGTGACCTCCTGTGTGTCAGGTCCCTCCTGTGTGTCATGTGACCTCCTGTGTGTCATGTGACCTCCTGTGTGTCATGTCCCTCCTGTGTGTCAGGTCCCTCCTGTGTGTCAGGTCCCTCCTGTGTGTCACCTCCTGTGTGTCAGGTCCCTCCTGTGTGTCATGTGACCTCCTGTGTGTCAGGTCCCTCCTGTGTGTCATGTGCCCTCCTGTGTGTCAGGTCTCCTGTGTGTCATGTGACCTCCTGTGTGTCAGGTCCCTCCTGTGTGTCATGTGACCTCCTGTGTGTCATGTCCCTCCTGTGTGTCATGTCCTGTGTCAGGTCCTCCTGTGTCATGTGACCTCCTGTGTGTCAGGTCCTCCTGTGTGTCAGTCCTCCTGTGGTTCAGTCCCTCCTGTGTGTCATGTGTCCCTCCTGTGTGTCAGGTCCCTCCTGTGTGTCATGTGACCTCCTGTGTGTCATGTGACCTCCTGTGTGTCATGTGACCTCCTGTGTGTCATGTGACCTCCTGTGTGTCAGGTCCCTCCTGTGTGTCAGGTCCCTGTGTGTCATGTGACCCTCTGTGTGTCAGGTCCCTCTGTGTGTCAGGTCCCTCCTGTGTGTCAGTGTGTGTCCCTCCTGTGTGTCAGGTCCCTCCTGTGTGTCAGGTGACCCTCCTGTGTGTCAGGTCCCTCCTGTGTGTCAGGTCCCTTCCTGTGTGTCAGGTCCTCCTGTGTGTCAGTTCCCCCTGTGTGTCAGGTCCCTCCTGTGTGTCAGGTCCCTCCTGTGTGTCAGTCCCTCCTGTGTGTCAGGTGCCTCCTGTGTGTCAGGTCCCTCCTGTGTGTCAGTCCCTCGTGTGTCAGGTGTGTCAGGTCCCTCCTGTGTGTCAGGTCCCTCCTGTGTGTCAGGTGCCCTCCTGTGTGTCAGGTCCCTCCTGTGTGTCAGGTCCTCCTGTGTGTGTCAGGTCCTCCTGTGTGTTCAGGTCCCTCCTGTGTGTCAGGTCCTCCTGTGTGTCAGGTCCCTCCTGTGGTCAGTCAGGTCCCTCCTGTGTGTCAGGTCCCTCCTGTGTGTCAGGTCCCTCCTGTGTGTCAGGTCCCTCCTGTGTGTCAGGTCCCTCCTGTGTGTCAGGTCCCTCCTGTGTGTCAGGTGCTCTTCCTTCTGGACTCACCTCTTCAGAGGAGAACCTGTCGGCCTGAGTCGTCAACATCTGAGTCACACTGAAAAACACAAACACATCAGAACCTCTGCACCTCCTCCTCTGCACCTCCTCCTCCTCCTCTCACCTCTCCTCCTCTCCTCCTCTCACACCTCCTCCTCCTCCTCCTGCACCTCCTCCTCCTCCTCCTCCTCCACACCTCCTCCTCCTCCTCCTACTCACTCCTCCTCTGCACCTCCTCCTCCTCCTCCTCCTCTACACCTCCTCCTCCTCCTCCTACACCTCCTCCTCCTCCTCACCTCCTCCTCTCCTCCTGCACCTCCCTCCTCCTCTCACCTCCTCCTCCTCCTCTACACCTCCTCCTCCTCTACACCTCCTCTCCTCTCACTCCTCCTCCTCACCTCTCCTCCTCACCTCCTCCTCCTCCTCTACACCCTCCTCCTCCTCTCACCTCCTCCTCTGCACCTCCTCCTGCACCTCCTCCTCTCCTCCTCCTGCACCTCCTCCTCCTCCTCTCTCCTCCTCCTCCTCCTCCTCTGCACCTCCTCCTCTGCACCTCCTCCTCTACACCTCCTCCTCCTGCACCTCCTCCTCCCTCCTCACCCTCCTACCCTCCTCCTCCTCCTCTGCACCTCCTCCTCCTCCTCCTCTCACCTCCTCCTCCTCCCTCTACACCTCCTCCTCCTCCTCTACACCTCTCCTCCTCCCTCCTGCACCTCCTCCTCTGCACCTCCTCTCTCTGCACCTCCCTCCTCTCCTCTACACCTCCTCCTCCTCCTCCTGCACCTCCTCCTCTACACCTCCTCCTCCTCCTCCTCACCTCCTCCTCTGCACCTCCTCCTCTACACCTCCTCCTCTACTGGACTCACTAGTCTTTCCGTAAAACTCCTTTTCCTTCTGGGTCGAAGACTTTAAAGGCGTTCAGGATGGTCTCCTCCGGGTCCGCCCCTTCAAAATAAAACAAAAACAGCTTTAGGAGTTTTATTTTGAAGGTTTGTGGTGTAGGACTTCCTGCTCCTGCTCGTACCTTTGAGTTTCTCCCCGAACATGGTGAGGAACACGGTGAAGTTGATGGGACCTGGAGCCTCTTTGAGCATCTCGTCGATCTCCTCCTGCTTCACGTTCAGACGCCCTGCCAAAATAAAAGCACGTGTGAACCTGAGCCCTGCCAAAATAAAAGCACGTGTGAACCTGAGCCCTGCCAAAATAAAAGCACGTGTGAACCTGAGCCCTGCCAAAATAAAAGCACGTGTGAACCTGAGCCCTGCCAAAATAAAAGCATGTGTGAACCTGAGCCCTGCCAAAATAAAAGCACGTGTGAACCTGAGCCCTGCCAAAATAAAAGCACGTGTGAACCTGAGCCCTGCCAAAATAAAAGCACGTGTGAACCACAGCCCCGCCAAAATAAAACCACTTTCACACTAAAACTTAAAGTAAATGTTTCTTTCAGAATAAGAGCCCCTGTTATATTAGCCCTTTCACAATAAAAGCTTCTTCTTCTCAAAGTAAATATTTCTTTCAGAATAAGAGCCCCCGTCACATCAGCTCTTTCACAATAAAAGTCCCTACAAAGTAAAGGCCCTTCCAGAATAAGAGTTTCTTTGTTTCATTTCAGAATAAGAGCCCTCGTCACATGTGCCCCTTCACAGTAAAAGCTCTTAGATGTTGTATTTTCAGAGTAAGAGTCTGACCGAGCGCGGCGAACGTGTCCCTCAGGTCGTTCTTGTCGATGAATCCGTCTCTGTTCTGGTCCATGATGGTGAACGCCTGAGGGCAGAGGTCAGAGGTCAGAGGTCACACAGGTGAGTTACACATTTAAAATAACAATTATATACACACACACCTGTACACACACACACACACACACCTGTACACACACCCACACACACACTGTACACACACACACACACACACACACACTGTACACACACACACACACACACACCACTGTACACACACCACACACACACACACTGTACACACACACACACACACACACACTGTACACACACACACACACACACACACACACTGTACACACACACACACACACACACACACACACACACTGTACACACACACACACACACTGTACACACACCTGTACACACACACACACACACACACACACACCTGTACACACACACACACACACCTGTACACACACACACACACCTGTACACACACCTGTACACACACACACACACCTGTACACACACACACACACACACACACACTGTACACACACACACTGTACACACACACACACACACACACACACACACACTGTACACACACACACACACACACACACCTGTACACACACACACACACACACACACACACACCTGTACACACACACACACACACTGTACACACACACACACACCTGTACACACACACACACACACACTGTACACACGTACACACACACCTGTACACACACACACACACACACACATGTACACACACACACACCTGTACACACACCCACACACACACACTGTACACACACACACACACACACACACACACTGTACACACACACACACACCTGTACACACACACACACACCTGTACACACACACACACTGTACACACACACACACTGTACACACACACACACACACTGTACACACACACACACACACTGTACACACACACACACACACACATGTACACACACACACTGTACACACACACACACACCTGTACACACACACACACACACCTGTACACACACACACACACACCTGTACACACACACCTGTACACACACCTGTACACACACACCTGTACACACACACACACTGTACACACACACACACACACACACACAGTACACACACACACTGTGTACACACACACACCTGTACACACACACACACACACAGAGCACAGGTGGAGTTGGACTGAAACAGAAGCCTCCTCAGATAAACTCAGTTTCCTGAGGGAGGACATCAGGGCTTCGGGGTCAGAGGGTCAGAGGGTCACACCTGAGGGTCAGAGGGTCACACCTGAGGGTCAGGGTCAGAGGGTCAGAGGGTCAGAGGGTCACACCTGAGGGTCAGAGGGTCACACCTGAGGGTCAGGGCATGAGGACCTCAGGGCATCAGACCTGAGGGTCAGCGCCACCCGCTCACATGTGCCCGCCCCCTCCTGGTCAGTGACACTGTAGTGCCCTTGTGAATAGGCTGTGACAGAGTTCAGTTCAGAGTTTTGTTCAGAGTTCAGTTCAGAGTTTAGTTTAGTTCAGAGTTTTGTGTTGTTTCCATGTGTATTTTTCTTGTGTAGTTTTTACATATTTATCCGTGTGTTTCCTGCAGAACCTCACACACTGAAACTCTGTGGAGTCCCAACAAATCACAACCCCGAGAGTATTTCACACGAGTACTAGTAGTAGTAGTACTATAGTAGTAGTAAAAGTACGCAGTATGTAGTAGTAGTAGTACTATAGTAGTAGTAAAAGTACGCAGTATGTAGTAGTAGTACTATAGTAGTAGTAAAAGTACACAGTATGTAGTAGTAGTAGTACTATAGTAGTAGTAAAAGTACGCAGTATGTAGTAGTAGTACTATAGTGGTAGTAAAAGTACACAGTATGTAGTAGTAGTACTATAGTAGTAGTAAAAGTACGCAGTATGTAGTAGTAGTACTATAGTAGTAGTAAAAGTACGCAGTATGTAGTAGTAGTACTATAGTAGTAGTAAAAGTACACAGTATGTAGTAGTAGTACTATAGTAGTAGTAAAAGTACACAGTATGTAGTAGTAGTACTATAGTAGTAGTAAAAGTACACAGTATGTAGTAGTAGTACTATAGTAGTAGTAAGTGTACACAGTATGTAGTAGTAGTAGTACTATAGTAGTAGTAAAAGTACACAGTATGTAGTAGTAGTAGTACTATAGTAGTAGTAAAAGTACGCAGTATGTAGTAGTAGTACTATAGTAGTAGTAAAAGTACACAGTATGTAGTAGTAGTACTATAGTAGTAGTAAAAGTACACAGTATGTAGTAGTAGTACTATAGTAGTAGTAAAAGTACGCAGTATGTAGTAGTAGTACTATAGTAGTAGTAGTAGTAAAAGTACGCAGTATGTAGTAGTAGTACTAGTACTATAGTAGTAGTAAAAGTACACAGTATGTAGTAGTAGTACTATAGTAG